GACTTTTTTTCTTGTCATTATTAATTATGCTATATATATTTATAAATCCATTTTGTAATGGAGACCTCAACGAGGTCAGTTGGAACCACACTATTAAGAGGTTTAACTGTTCTCCATGCAGGCATTCAAATAGTAACTGCAATGTTTTCACTTCACAGCACTGGGAATGCCTGTAATGTATGTGTTCAACCAACAACAAAAATGAAGAGCAAGTATAGCTTATTTATCAGCTATGAATCAGGAAAGAAGTTTGGAATAACTGAGTAACTTAATAAACAACCCTTTGCCTCAAAGGAATTCCCAGCTCTTAATGTATTTAAAGAAAAACAATTTGACTTCATGTTTGGTCTATGGTGGGCAGAGAATTCGACTGAAAAAAGAACAGTCATGTTTCTTTTTAAAGTTTCACCACCTTTAACAGTTACAACTGAGACTACCCCTTGTGGTTCCTAACACATGAAAATTACAATGGTACAGGTAAGAGTAAGTCTGTTTCAGAAATATGGCTAATCAGGGCAGTGTTTGACTCCATTTTCCAGAGCATGAGTTGACTTAGAATATTCTGGAATGAGCAGCCTCAATATTCATATTGATTTACACATCTGTGTTACTGCTGTGTCTATATACAGTGGATTGTTCATCTAACGTCCCTAATGTTACAAACAATGTGTTTTTACATCATTTGAATTTTCTTTATGCATTTTTTTTTTGGTAAATGCCATTGCCAATCAGATCCTGTAGCAGCCCAGCTACTTTTAAGAAATATCTCTAAGAATTTCTTTTTAGGAAAGAGCTCAGTGCTAGTTTAAAACATTTGACGTAAAGTAAAGCACTTTTTGAATATTTACATAGTTTTAAAAGCTATATAAATTTCTCTTATTACAATTATAAAATATTCTGGATAAATTCAACTGTAACTTTTAAATGTTAATCCATTTTAATTCTGGCTATCTGTGGCCAGACACTTCTTATAATAAAAACAGTTTCAAAGCTCTAGTTTTAATTGTAATTTGCTAAAAGATAGGCTATTATTTTAACCTTCCTTGTTCCTTATTATGTTAAACACAGAACACATAGGATGAGAAGTTGATGAATATTCACACGTGATAATTATTAGATGCTGCACACCCACCATGATGAACAACACCAACCCTTTTTACAGTACATGGTTATTGCCATAATTGCTATGACTCGTGCGCATTTCGAGTTTACTTTTTCTCCCCGCATGCTATTTAACTGTTGTGTATGGAAAGTCTTTTTGTTTCCATTGTGATGATTTTTGTCCTTCTGCAATTGATCATTTTCACTGTTGCGCATCAAGAGAAGATGCTCAGTGGATTAGGTTAAGAAATTACAATGTTATGGGAGATAGGGTAAGGAAGCACTTCTCCAATTTTTAGGTCTCGTTGTTTTCCCCAACTTTAGATATTCGTTGAAATGTTTTGTGCAAATCTTTTTAACTGTGGGAATAAATTAGCACTTCCTGGGAAAAAGAGATTGTAATTGAATTTGTGATATTTTTCTAGTAATAAAAGACAAAAGGTTTAAATATTAAATAACATACCCATGACTAACAGAGGGTTAAAAAATAATTAGGCCATTTGCTTTCAACTGAAATAGTTTATACTTTCCCAGTTGTCTTTCTGACATGAGAGAAATGCTGCTCCTTCAACAGGAATTTGACCAACTACATTTATGTTTTGTGTTTGTTATAACTCTGAGTTATAAATCATTGCTCCATGATTAAATTCCACTTTCCTTCAACAACTTTTACGATTGTAGCTGTTTGAACTGAATTCCTTGCTAGCAGGGGCCTCTTTGAAGGGCATTACTTGATGTATCAATACTAGTTTTGAGAGGAAATGTACTAATGTAATGTAATCTTTTACTTTGAAGCCTATCGACAATGGTGAAGCCTGTGACTCTAGCATTTGAACATTCAGGCTGTTGACACTGCCTGGTGAAACTCATAGACATTGAAACTATCCCCAAATGCCCACTTTGCAAGGCTCCCATCGGAATAGGTACTCTTCACATCAACATTGCACTCAACGACATCATAGGAAAGTTTGATGTCAAGTGTGAAAGTTGTGGTTGTCTATGACAGGGAAGTTTCACGAGCACAAGCAACACTTAAAAGCATATGGAAAGTTCACAATGCAGTGTGCAAATGAAGGGTGTGGAGAGATGGTGGCAAGGTAGGGGATGGCAGCATACATTGCCTAATATGCAAAGCACAAGGTCCCTTGCCAGGAATGCGGTAGGAAAGTAACAAGGGAATGTTTAGAGGAGCATGCTGCTTCCCTTTGTTCTAATAAGAGAATATTATGTCCACTAGGCTGCGGAACAAACCTTCTACAGCAAGCTATTGTCAATTTAATTATGCAATCAAATGTAAAATGGTTATCTAGGCCAATAAAGTATCCAAAAGTTGCACTAGCCAGCTCATCTCCGGTCCCTACTATAGAACACAAATGTCTTTTTCTTTTGTCTATTGTTT